GCCAGTCTCCTGCCGTGCGATTAACTGCCTCTGAAAACTCTCTGAAAGGTCAGCTATGAGTTGGTTCCAACTCGTGGTACATAGCAATATACCTGCTAATTCTAGAGAAAACTTTCTTTTTCTACTTCCAAACTGGTTCCTTTGGGGTTGTGTCATTTTACTCTCCCCCGGCAGTGTATGAGAGCTACGGTCTCACCACACCCTCTGTAGCATTTCTCTTTTGCTGTCTTACTGAACATCACTGTGGTTGCCACCGTTAGAGGACAGCTCATTGTTTATTTCCACCTGTGCTAGGGACTGTGGTAAGGGCTCACATACTTTGGGCCTGTTGCTCGGATTGCTAGGAAAGGAGGAGGGATGGCAAAGGAGAGGAAGATCCTCACCAGTTGGATTGACACAAGTGATTACAGGAAGTGTGTTAGAGATGATGAGATGGCACAGGATCAAGGTTCAGGTCTGTTCATCTTGTTCCCATGATTCGTGCTTGGCTCAATGACACCTAACAGCAGCAGCAATCAGCGCTGGTGGCCTGGCGGTAAGGAGCTGCAGTGCCGATTTGAAGGTGCGAATCCACCAGCTGCTCTGGGGGAGAAGGATGGGCAGTCGTCTCCTCCTGTTAAATTTCCTGCCTCTGAAAACCCGCTAGAGAGAGGGTCAGCTATGAGTCAGTTCTGACATGACATAGGACACAGTGACAACAACAGTAGCTAATGAGGGGACTCTGGTGGCTTAATGGTAAAGTAAAGAGCTGTGTTATCAACCCCAAGGCAAAGTATCCTCACCCCCCTTTCTTCCTTCTCATATTTTAAAAGTTGTCTTTTTCTTTTTTGAGGTGAGTTTTCTGTCAATTAGAAAAGGGGGACTTAAAATTTCAAACCCAATTTCATTGCCATGAAGTTGGAACCACCAGAAGCTACTGTAGACGACTGTTGTGTACCTTCAAGTCAGAACTGACTCCTTCATAGCTGACCTCCAGCAGCTTTTCAAAGGTTGTGAATTAATTGCATGAGAAGTGATTATCTAGAGGAACCTCTGGTGGATTTGAACCACCTTTGTTAGCAGTACAGCTTCCTTTGGAGTACACTAGCTGAGGTCCTAAGGAGCTCCCATGGCTTAGTGGTTAGGAGTTGCACTGCCATCCCAAAGGAGCATGGTTCTAATTCACCAAATGCCCCACAGGAAAAAAGACTCCTGTTGTGCAGTTTACTGCCTCTGAAAACCCACCAGGGGTCACCTACAAATGAATCTGTTCTTGGTTGGTGGCACATTTCTGTTCATGTGCTGTTACTGGCGTATATTAGGACACCTGAGTTCCCCCAGGGAGTTCTGGAACTGGGCTGCTAATCGAAAGCCAGCTGCTCTGAAGGAGAAAGATGGCCTCTGAAAACCTACTGGTGGGTCAGCTCTGAGTTGGTTCAAACTCGATGGCACTTAATGAGTTTGCCCAGATGTTTTCTTAGATAATCTTAATTGTTTTATGCCTAGGTCCTTGACTGATATGAGTTAGATTCTGTGTATGATATAAGAAAGAGGGGTCTTGTTTCAGTTTTCTACAAATGGATACCCAGTTTTGCCAGTACCATTTGTTTTTTCCACATAATTGGTTTCATTTCATCTGTTTGTCAGAAGTCACCTCTCCATATGAATGGATTTCTTTCTGAATTCCAGTCTGTTTTGCTCCTTAGCACTTGACAGAGGTCCTTGACAGCAAGATTTGCCCAGTGCAGCATGTGTGTTTGAATTCTTGACTGCTGCCATGGTGAGTGTTCATTGTGGATCCACGGGAAATGAAACGGTTGACAACTTAGATCTTTTCTCCATCTTTGATGATTGTTACCTCTTGGTCCAGTGGGGAGGATTTTTGTTTTTATGTTGAAATGTATCCATTGAAAAGCTGTCTATTCTCTTCAGTAAGTGCTTCAAGTCTTCACTTTCCTGCAAACAAAGTTGTTGATGAGTGTCTAATTCTGATGCCACATTCTTCCTCTTGTAGTTCAGCCGTTGAATGATATGATTGATTAGCTATGAAAAATAGAACATAGTCAAGATACACACCATTCCTGATACTAAACTATGGAGTGTTCTCTGTTCTGTTCAGACAGTTGCTTCTTGGTCTTTGTATAGGTTTCACATAAACATTATAATTCTGAGATTTCCAGTCTTCTGAATGTTAACCATTTGGAATTCCTGTTGACATATGTCATCCAATAGCTCTGGCTGTACTTACTAGTCTGTGGCAAAAAATTTAGAAGTCAGCTAGCTACCTTGCCAGCTAACTGGAAGAGTATCCTGTATTCGTTTCCGTTTTGTTTTTTTTTTTTTTTAAAGTGATCCAACAGGATGTGGAAATAGTTAATGTATATACGTGTCTTTGGGTTCTTTGTAGTATTTTGTCATTTTCCTTGTATAGATCTGTCATTATCTTTGGTTAGATTTATTCCCAAATATTTCATACTCGGGCTATTGTAAATGGCATTGTACTCCTTATTTCTTTTTTACAGTTCTTGTTGTTACTGTTACCCATCAGGTCTTCCAAATCTATATTTAGATTATAAGGAAGTTGTTTTGACAGATCAAGACAGCAGTGCATGGTTTAAAATCTGGAAAGTTACGTATCAGATTGTGTCCAGTCTATAGCCATTCTCACATTCCAGGTATCTGTCCCACTTGAGTATGGTGAATGATTTTTTAAATTTGATGTTGGGTTCTATTGGCTAGAATTTTGTTTAGATTTTTGCATAAGTGGCTTGAATCCCATTGAGTCAGAATCAGCCAATTCCTAGCTGGCCATCCAGCGAGTTTTCAGAGGCAGTAAATTGTACAGGAGGAGATTGCCCAGCCTTCATTCATGGTGGAACTGGCGAGTTTGAAACGTGTGCCTTTGGGTTGACAGTGCATTTCCCTGAGCACTAAGCCAGCAGGGCCCCCTGTTGTTAACAGTGATTGGCGAGTACAGTGATTCGAGTACATTCGCTGGATCAGAAGGAACCTACCTTGGTTGGGTCTTGTCTTCCACCGGGGACTCCGATATCAAAGGATAGCATGCAGGCTGCTTAATGTAGTCCTGGCTTGGAGTCTTTTGTGTGTGTGTGTTTGTTTTAAACCCTGGCAAACTTGTGTGTAGGGGTGACATCTGACCTGTCATATCAGCAGGAGAGACTCATAGAAGCATGTTAGGGCTGATTGCTCTGAAACATGGGTCAGGCCTGCCTCTTCTCTCCAGCGTCTGTCTGACAGCTGACATTCCCACAGCGCTCTTTGCCATGTTCAGTAATGTGTTGCCATGCTACACAAACCTCATAAGTTTGGGATTTGTCAGGGAAGTAACAGCTTCCAGTTGAGGATCAGAATTAACTGAGGCCATGTTCATCTCTGCCTTGCCTCCATGCAGCCTTCTATCTTACTTGGGCTAGTGGTACAAAGCACTTTAGCTTCACCTGTAAGTGCCTGGGGACATGCCCTCCACCAGTAAGCCTCCTGCCCAAAACACTTGGCCTCTCTGTTCCACGGTCCAGAAAGCCCACCCTACTGCTACGGGTCTCCTGGCTCAGCACTGGTTAGAGTTCCAGATACCTTATTTGTATGGTCCCATCCCACAAGGATGTCATGAGTCTTGTTCACATTAGTAATGCAAGCTATTTAGTGCCCTAAAAATCAGATGACAGAGTGTGGGATATGTCATTAAATAATACACTCCATTATACAATAACGGCATGATGAGCTAGTTTTCACGTTACTATTCTTCTTTAAATAAATTTATTAAGAACCATAAATAAATAAATGCTGACATTAACATTGAGTACTTGGGAGCATCTGTTTTCCTGCCTTAGAATTAAATTGTGTACATCTGTTAGCCCCTCTGGGCACTTCTACCCCTAGAGACAAGGGAGATAGAAATTCAGAGCTCAGTGATAGAATCCAGAAGGCCTAGGAAGTAGGTTGAGGAGAGCAGGCCAGCTGGAGTAGCAGGAGTCCATCCTGGCACTGGTGGGCTGCACTGCCTGCTTGGAGTATGGTGAGCACGTGTAAAGGATAAGGACTGCACTGTCCAGTGGACCAGAGCCTAGGACCCCGAGTGCCACGGGGTGGTAATCAACCCGCACTGTGATGAAATGACAGCTACTGTATTTTCTTGTGTCAGCTTCTGGCTGTACTAGAGCAGAATTGTGACTAGTTACAAAAGTGCTCTAGACATTTAAATGAGATAACAGTGATAATATTTTTTTAATATGATCCTGTAAGATTTGATGTCCAGGTTAGTGTCAGTGGTCAGTCTTGGTTTTCTTATTCTGCCCTCTCCCCCAGCTGTTAGATGAGGCCCAACCATGCACAGACTTTAATCAAAGCTCTGGAGATACACCAAGATCGAGACGGACAAAATCCCTGTCTTTTTACAGTTTATAGTCTAGTGAGGAGGACAGGCAGAAAGCATACTGCCATCATTCTAAACTGCTGTGAAAGGAGGTTGCCAGGGTGAGGCCAAGAGGTTAGATTCGGGGCCGCGATTCACTTGAACTGCAAGTCCAGGGTAGCTCCTGGAGCTGGAGCAATAGACAGTAGCCTGGCTGAGCGGTTGGAGACTGTGGAACTAGCTTGCAGTCCGCATGGAGGAGTTGCCAGCTAAGAGGAAATGTGTATGCTGGATAGAAAGCAGAACTCTTAAGAAATGGTAGGAGGAGAAGCAAAGGAAACAGAAGAGCTTGTTGAAGGGGTGGGAGAGAGAGGCACTGCCTTGTAAAGGGAAGGAAGTTGGTGGGCAGGGACAGCCTGCTCGCAGACTGTGGAGCTGGACAGGGACATTTTTGGTGACCTGCGAGAGAAACGGTTTGAAGGAAGAAGGGGAGCAGTCAGGAAGTTGAAGTAGAAGCTATAAACCATGTTAGGCTAATTAACGATAGCAGTTCTTGTAATTTTTTAAAAATGCACTTGTTGATATGTTCATTTTCACTCAGCCAAGATCATCAATCTTTTCAGATGAGAAAAAAGATATCGACCATGAGACGGTGGTTGAAGAACAGATCATTGGAGAGAACTCGCCTCCCGATTACTCAGAGTACATGACAGGGAAGAAGCTGCCTCCTGGTGGGATTCCTGGCATCGACCTTTCGGATCCCAAACAGCTTGCAGAATTTGCTAGGTAAGTTTTAAGAACTCCTTTTCCTGGCACACAGTGAGAGTTGGCCAGTTGTGCCCACTTCCCGGCAGGTATTATTCTTTTTCTTAGTTACTGTGTTGTTAGTGTAAGCTGCAGCATCTTGGAGCCTGGAAGACAAGCTTAGAAGCGAATACTCTTGGATTCTATAATTGGCATTACTTGTAAATAAATAAAGAAATAAACTTGTACATAATTTGTGAAATGGATATTGGCGTTCTTGCTCACAGTCTGGGCATTTTAAATCGGGACCAGGCTCTGTACTGGATTCCAGGGGACGGACGGACGGACTGACTGTAGGCGAGATGTCATCAGATCCCATTTCATCCTCTCAGCCCTTTGGGTCTGTTGTTTCCTTGATAAGAGGTGATGTGAGAAAAAGGATGTTGCGTTGATGGCTGGGACCCTGTAACGATCAGAGGTGAACAATAGGGCTGGCTAGAGCCATCACATATACAATAAATAATCCTCACATCAGTGAAACTATAGGGAGTGTACACATTCTTTTATATGATTGAAAATCCCGTGTTAATTGTGCTTGCCCCTTAGAGATTCTGCAGTGCGCGTAGTCGGCACTGAGCTTAGATTTTGGACATACTGACCTAAATGCAGTGCTACTATTTGATATTGGGGTCCATATGTTCTGGAGTTTGGCTGCTCCTTACTTAAGGATATATACAGGGGTGGAGGTGGATAAGAAGGGGGCTCATTCCCAAGTGGGGCCTGCGTGCCCCCATAGCCTGAGTGTGCTAGAAAAGTGTAGTTGTGTTTTCTACCCATCACTGTCAAGTACTTTCCAATTCATATCAACCCTTGTAGGACAAAGTCAAGCTGCCCTATAGGATTCTGAGGCTGAAAATTTACACAACCAGACTACCTCGTCTTTGTCCCTTGGAGCAGTGGTGGGTTTGAACTGCCAACCTTCCAGTTAACAGGCAGTCACTTAACCATTGTACCGCTAGAGCTTCTTTACTATTCAGTGTATCTGTAGTAAGAAAACAGTAGGTAAGAGCCAGCATTGCATGAGTCTCTGGGTACTTAAAGGAAGATGAGTGGCATTTAGGTAAATTGGAAGTAGCTCCTTAAGGCCTGTGAGTACTGGGCTGAGTTATGTAGACCTGGTAATGTGTGGTCAGCTGCTAAAGGCGTTGGAGTGGTCCACGAGAGGCTGGGGGAGGAGAACTATTAGTTGAGAAACTTATTTTCCATGTCCTAAGCTGGAGAGTGGAGGCTCAACCAGGAGGTGGAAGAGAACAGTTGAGCAAGCGCGAATGGAGGCCCATTGGGCATTGAGGTGGCAGCCGAGGGCCGGAGGAGACACATCAGTAGAGGAATCCCAGCTGGCAGGGGAAGGTGTTGGGTGATGCAGGACATAGGGAGAAGATGCTTGTTTGAGGTTTAGGAAGGCAGTGTTGGGTTTTAAAAGGTAGTAAAACAGCCCTGCCTGGAATGTGTAGTGGTTTATCTTGGAAGTAAGTTAAGGCAAAATCATCCAACAAAGGGTAGCTGATTACATGAAAATGGTAAGATTTTTTTGAGGGGATGGTCCTAGGTAGTAAAAAGACCTCAGCGTAGAATCTTGGGAAGCACTCACATTCAAAGAGTAGGAAGAGTAGGAGGAAGCATCAAGACAAGGCAGCATCATGAAACAGGATGTTTCCAGAAGGCCCAGGAGGGGGAGGAATCAAATTCTTTTAGACTATACTTCCACAGAAGAAGAATTGGTGTCTTTGAGGTGTGGTGTTGGAGGAGAGCACCAGATGTCCCATGGACTGCCAGAAGAACAAACAGATAATGTCTTGGGAAAGTGCAGCCCGACTTGGAGGCAAAGATGATGAAGCTTTCTCTCACAGACTTTGTGCATGTCATTAGGAAAGGCTGCTCCTTGGAAAGTGAAATCATGCTTGTACACCATCCCTCAACAGTGGGCTCAAGTGTGTCATAGATGCTGAGGATGGCACAGGACAGGACAGGGTTATCTGTTGTTCTTAGGGTATGTTTCAGGCCTGCCTCACCGATCAAGACCAGGGCTTCTGCTTGCTCCCAGGGGTCCTGGTTTCTCTGGATCAAGTCTGCTGTGGACCCTCCCCTGAGGAAGAGGACCCCACACACAGGCATTGGGCCCCAGGGCCGGAGGCCATCGTAAAATTTCAAAGCACCTAGCATGAAGGACCTCCTGCAGTAAAAGGACAGGGCACATTTGGAAAGAATGACGATGAGACCTGGGTGAGACTTTACTTCACTAACAGTAGATGATTAGAAGGCACTGGGCTGGTGATTAAGATTTCTTATGGAAAGTTATCATCAGCATAGACATCTTTATTCCTGTAAATCTCAACCAAATAAAAGGTAAAATATTGAGAGTTTAGACCCTACAGGGGTTCATTTTACACTCGCCCCTCCTTAGAAGCTGTGCTGATAGAATAAGGATCAGGAGAAGGAAGACTTTCTCCAAATTCCAGTGAAGGAAGCCACGGGCAGCCATGCGGAAGGACACCAGTGGCTCATGACAGGGCCACCCGATGCGGGAGTGGATGCAATGAGCCCGAAGTCAGCCTTCTTGATGGCACGCGCATCACCTGAGAAATACAGACACTAGCAACTCCCTTTCTGAGGGAGAGACGCTGAGAAAACCGTGGCCTGAAAAGGAACCATGCTTCTGAATAAGCCTGAGAGGACTGTTGACCTGGTGCTTGGGAGGTTCTGTCGCTGATACTGAAGCGCCACTGTTGGCCAGAAAGTGTTACCCGCACAGTTAGTTCTGAAGTGACAGGTATTGACACATTGTAAAATTGTTTCTCCTGTGTGGCCAGCGCGGTAAAGGTCTGTCTGTTCTGTGTGTGGAATAGAATGAGATGATGCTACCTGGACAGCGTGGGGGGGGTCGCGGGCTGGGGCCTGGCCTCATGTTAGGGTGCAAGTGGGGGTCATGCTGCCTCGTCCTGTGGGAAAAGCTGTGTTACTCCACACAGCTGCCTACTGAGAAGTCGTGTTGGCGAGAGGGCCGGGTACCCTTCTGTTGGGTTTTCGTGTTTGAGACCGTCGAACCATTGGGGACTTTTCCTGAGCCCTGGAATTGGTGACTGGGACTCTGAAAGCTGGGGCAAAGACCAGCTCCCAGGCTGCTGGGGGCCAGGTTGTGCGTCCTGCATCCATCCCTCTTTGTGCTGGCCTTGCCCTCGCCCCTGCACCCGAGGCTTGTTCTTGTCTGTACTTCCCTTTCTTCCACACAGTGGCTGGTGGGTAAGGTTGAACTTAATGAAACTGACCCCAAAATGCAGGTCTCTGCTCTGCTGGGCTTAGCTGCTTGGTAAGCCATTGACGAGCATGTGGACAAGAATAGGAACTGTTGATGACTTCTGGGAACTCACAGGGCTGTGGTGGTGGGTGCCTCGGATCTTTGCTGAAATGTCTTTCAGGAAATACTTCAAAAAATTATCTCTGAGACCTAGCAAATTCTGTTTCCTGATTGAATCCACACAGTGGTCTGTGACAGCTACACTATAATTAGGCCGATGCCCGGTTAGGTAATTTGTGCTCGGTGCCGATCCCAGAAGGCTGCAGGATTGCCGTGGAGAGCAGCCGGGTCCACGCGTGTGCACTGACTAGCCTTTGATCCTCGGGCTGGTTTAGCAAACTGGACAGGCAGTGTTAACCCTTTGCACAGCAGGAGGAGGGCTGTTCCCGTGACACTGGAGCTTGTGTCCCTCGGCACGAGCGTGGTTCCAGTCTAGAACCCTGCTTCAGTGCCACTCAAAGGTTTATACGTGTTAAGTGCTGCTGAGTCCAGTATCACTCAAGTTTTACCATCCTTGAAGGTTAAATTTTCCCAGGATGGATTTGTTCTTTCACCATTTCATGGAATGGATGGATATTCATTATTCATTTCAACATGACAGTTCAGAGACATTGATTCTTTAGTTTTCTTTTGTCTTTGTTAGATGCTGTCGAGTCAACTGTTACTTGTGTGACTGTATGAAAACAGATGTGAGCCCTGCCCTATCCTGTGCCATCCTCACCATCTCTGATAGACCCAGCCCCACTGTTAGTCATTTTGTCACTTACCTTGTTGAGGGTCTTATGTACAGAAATTGGACCTGGAAGCTCCTGCAGCTCTTAATCATGGTGTCCACCCCTCCCAGTGTTGTGACATTCTCTAAACCAGTGGTTGTAGCCCCAGGAGCAGGTCTGTGGTTCTTATGTGAACAAGAAATCTCCACTGTTGAGCTCCCTGCTCCTCGGTCCAATGTGGGATGCATGGAGAGGTGCTTTTCCTTTGCTTTACACAGCGTTAAAAATCCCTTTGTGAAAAAGTGTGGCGTTCCAGAACCTTCTTAGTTGTTAGGCACAACTGGTATAGGATATTTTAAGAATTAATTCCTTTTTTTGCTAGACCCATTTCTAACACATAGCCTGTGTTAATAATAGCTGTCATCTCCCACGTGCTTTTCATTCATCATTTTAACCCTCACCACTCTGAAGAGAGGAGCGTCATGTCTTTTTACAGAGAAGAAATGAAGGCTGAGAATCTAGTGTTTTGCAAAAGGTCACATGGCTAGTGAAAGGTGGCACCAAGATCCTCATTCCATCTCCATGGTTGATCGTGCGTCTGTTGTCATCTGCCTCTGTAGTCACGGAACATCAAGAAGATGAACTCTCAGTAGGATAGGTGTGTAGTCTTTATTCATCAGAGCACTTTTTTAAAAAAGTAGCCCTCGCTGTTTGCATTCAAATACAATGTACATGGTGGTAAAGTGTGGCTGGAGTTGACTTTCAGCTCAGTCCTTCAATCCAAGGCTTTGTCCAAATGCATTGTAGGCTTTTGTTAAAATCTCTCTTAAAAAATCAGAATGTAAAATTAACTGGAGAGATTGAAACTTCCTGCTTGTTTTTGTTTTATTCATACTCTAATGAAATGGAACAAAGTGAATAAAGTTGTTGATGAAGCTGTGACCCAACCTCCAGGTGGCGCATTGGCGTCATACTTCTTTGTCCTACGTGATGGCTGTATGCACACAGACCAAAGCCCCAGGATTTATTGGTATTTGAAATAACAAAAACTAGTTCAGAGCCCTGTGGACACTGGGAAAATAATTGCCAACCTATGTAGTAATGCTCCAGTTAGAATTTAAGTGTCTACAGGATTGGGATGGGGAGGAAGACTGAAATAGCTATAGAATTTAGAGGAGATGAGACTTGTTTTTTGAGGACTTAAAATTTAGAACTCGCATTTTTATGTAGTCACAGACATTTTGTTTCATGTGATAGCATCTTGACTGGAGTCCATTTACCACTTAGCTTGTTACGCTCCTCCAAGGTTTAACAAGCTGCTTTTATGTATTCAACTTTTATAAATTAATTATTTTCTCGATTAAGTGTGTGCAAAAAAGAGAAAGGCTTTGTTCCAGGCGCTTTGTGATACAAGGGCAGGTGAGGAAGCATTAGCTCCCCTGTTTATCAGCTGTGAACCCTCAAGGACCTGGATGAGATGACCTGATCGAGGACAGAAACAAAGTCTGTTTCAGAGAATTCCAATTGTTCTTTTCGTTTTTCTCAGAGCATTTAGTCCTCGCTCTTCTCCCACACACAGATCTGTAGGGAGTATTTGGAGAGAAGATATTTTGACAGAATTTTGGTTTGGTGGAAATTGCAGGGAGTCCTCATATCCGCAAGCCCCAGTGTCTGAAGGGAACATGTGATTTTGATCTCACAGACCAGCGTACCATTCTGACTGGGGCTCAAGTGTTAGCTGTGAGACCATCACCTCGACCTGCCTGAGTTTTATCTGTGAAATGGGAAGTATTCACAGTTGTAGGCACGCAGTGAGAGGCAGTTGTCTCACTCCCTGCACAGAAGAGACTTAGGGGGAAAGCATTTTCAAAATAAAGTGATTTATGCCAGTTGAGTCTACCCATTCCCACAAATCTTTTTTTTCTCTTTTCTCTCTCTCTCTCTTTTGTAAGAATGAAGCCAAGAAAAATTAAAGAAGATGACGCTCCAAGAACAATAGCTTGCCCTCATAAAGTAAGTAACACTAGTTAACATGTTCACTGAGTGACAGCTAAGAAGTTTGCATTTCTAATTCCATCTCCATAATTGAGATAAACGAAGGATCTATAAGCTTTGGTCTCTGAATTGAAGAGACAGTCTGTGTTGTAATATTTCTTGCTTAGCAGAGGCCACTTATCTAATCGTCAGAGCAGTCACTGTTGGTGTCAGTGTTTTTTGTCATTGCTGTGTCAGTCTGTAAACAGACTTTGGGTGTGTCTTACCCCTGGGCCTTATAGAGCCATAGGCCTGTCATTGAAATTTGCTAATTATTTTGGATGTTGCTAAAGACTTTTATTATTTCCTTCACCATTTCCTTAATTTTCCCTGTTAATTATGTTATTAGAGGGATGTTTAACTGTTTTCAAATGTGGTTCTTTGAAATAAAATACATTCTTTCAAGTTTTAATTGAAGTCTATCTTCAAACTTGGTTGAACATAGAACTAAGAGAAAAGAAAGTATCTTGTTGCAGAGATTGAAGTTGGTGGAGTGGGGTTTACCTGGATAGCCTTCTCAACACTGGCCTTTTCATGTCATTGCTAGGACTCTGCCCTTGTGCAGTATTGGTGCCGACACTCTTAATGTGGAGGTTTTGAAATGGAAAATGGTTTCTCTTGAGGCCAAAAATAAACATGCATTTGAAAACAGTTTGCTTGCTTCAGTGCCCGCCATCTTTAGCTTCTCTATACGTCTTTTCCTATTAGTTTGTTTGATTCCATTTTTCAATTGGAAGCTCCACATAGAGGTCAAGGTGAAAAAACTGTGGCTTCCCCTCACTTGCCTGTGAGCCTGTCCGAGTTGACCTGTGCTGTCCTTCTGTCATGCTGTCTTTCATCCCCAGTCACTCCATCAGTGGGCAACAACTGCAGAAGAAATTGAGGACATGCTTCTCTTGAGCACCACACCTCCATCTGCCTCAGTCCGCACGCATCGCTAGTCAGATTGTCTGCTTCTGCCTTTTCCTAGTGTCTCACAACGTAAATTTCTTCTGTAGTTGCCATTCCTTGGAGACCCTCTTGCTTCTTTCTCTGTCAAGAAGGGGAAAGAGGCAAAGAGAGAAGAGGGAGCACTAGGCGATGGAGAATGACAGCCCATTCTTGCAGCACAGAATGTGGGGCCCACCAAAGGTAGTGGTGGCCTGCCATCCTTTTAACTCCATTTCTGTATCGGTGCTTCTGTTACTTCATTTTGGGGGACGTCCTTGGGTGAGGTAGCTGTGGTGTCCCAGGGAGCCAGTGTGCTGGGTTCTAGTCCCACCCCGGTTATCACCTGTTGTGTGACCTCGGGCAAGTCTACTGAAAGACAACTCGAAGCCTCAGTTTCCTCATCTGTAAACAAGGGGTTTGCATTAAGCACTAGGGCCTTTTCAGCTGTCTGGTTTTTGTGTTAAATCATTTCTCAGTATCCCGCCATTATGCTAAGGAAAGTGGAAATGGGGGTGAAGCTGGTCGGTGAGCCATGTGAGGGGTTGGATGTACCCGCGAGGGTCGGGGTGCTGGCTGTTGTGTGCTGCAGTGAGTGGCCGTGGGACAGGCGGCAGTGGCATCTTCTAAGCTTCTCTGTGTTTCAAGGGCTGCACGAAGATGTTCAGGGACAACTCCGCCATGAGGAAGCACCTGCACACACACGGTCCCCGCGTCCACGTCTGCGCAGAGTGTGGCAAAGCCTTCGTCGAGAGCTCAAAGCTGAAACGGCACCAACTGGTTCATACTGGAGAGAAGCCTTTTCAGGTAGAGCTGCTCTTGGACACACACCCTTTCCTTAGTGGCAGGTGGCCATTGGGGGCCAGCCCCTCACTAACAGAGTGTGGTTCACACCAGGAGAACGGCATTGCCAGGACCAGACCCGGCATGATTGTCCCAGTAAGGATCCAGTCATGAACATGGTGGTTATTTTGTGTACCATGGAGTCAGGACCGCCCCATAGCTGAGCCGCCACCAGGTTTTCAGAGGCAGTAAGTCGCATGGGAGAAAAGTGCCTGTCCTTCTCCCACAGAGCAGCAGGTGGATTCTGACCCCTTACCTTTGCATTGGCAGCTCATTCCTGTAACTGCTAAGCCACCAGAGCTCCCTGCAGTCATGTAGAGCAGCCTGAAACCTGCAAATGGCTAAACTCAGTGCTCAGTTGGTTCAGGCTCGTACTGGCCCCAGACGATTGTAAATCTTCATAGATGCAGACGACTTTCTCTTTCTCCCAAGAAATAACAGTTGTTAGGTTGGAAATGCCCACATTTTGGTTAGCTGCCCAATGCTTAACATTAGGGCATCACCCAGGCTCTAACTGGCAGGACCTTCTGAAAAATCTGTCAAGAGTCAGTAGAGGTGTTTTGCGATGCCGTTAGTGAAGCGACTGTTGGTTTTGGTGACCATCCCTGTCTCTTTGGAGATGCTTGGAGAAGTACTAAGAATGAACCTCATTCATTTGGGTCAGGTTTTGCCAGGGCTTGATTTTAGGAGATGTCCAGCAGTAACAGTAGCAAGCACTACCCTCTGATGGCTGTGATCCATCTAGAACACTCCTTCAGGCGGGGCAGGGCGGGACATCCTCGCAGAGAGCAGGCCCCTCACACTGCCTGCAGCCTGATTTCTGGTCTTTACCCCGACAGTGCACGTTCGAAGGCTGTGGGAAGCGCTTTTCACTGGACTTCAATTTGCGCACACATGTGCGAATTCACACCGGAGACAGGCCCTATGTGTGCCCCTTCGACGGTTGTAATAAGAAGTTTGCTCAGTCAACTAACCTGAAATCTCACATCTTAACACACGCTAAGGCCAAAAACAACCAGTGAAAGGAAGAGAGGAGCCCTCTCGGCCTGGGCAAGTACCTTCCAGGAGCATCGGTGGAATACATACGCCTCTCCTTTGTATATTGTTTCTAGGAAAGATTTTAAAAACGAATCCTACACTTAAGGGACATGTTTTGATAAAGTAGTAAAAATTTAAAAAAAAGAAACCACAACAAACTTTAATAAGATGACATTGCTAAGATGCTCTATCTTGCTCTGTAATCTCGTTTCAAAACCACGGTGTTTTTGTAAAGTGTGGTCCCACCTGAAGGACACCTCATGAACTTTGCATCAAAAGACAATTCTTTATACAACAGTGCTAAAAATGGGACTTCTTTTCACATTCTTATAAATATGAAGCTCACCTGTTGCTTACAATTTTTTTAATTTTGTATTTTCCAAGTGTGCATATTGTACACTTTTTGGGGATATGCTTAGTAATGCTATGTGTGATTTTTCTGGAGGTTGATAACTTTGCTTGCAGTAGATTTTCTTTAAAAGAATGGGCAGTTACGTGCATACTTCAAAAGTATTTTCCTGTACAAAAAAAGTTCTATAGGTTTTGTTTGCCCTTTTAATTTTGGTTGTATTCTTTGATGTTAACACATTTTGTATAATTGTATCGTATCGCTGTATTGAATCATGTAGTTATCAAATATTAGATGTGATTTAATAGTGTTAATCAATTTAAATCCATTTTAGTCACTTCCCCCCACCCCCGGAAAAATACTGCCACATACTGACGTTGAGTGTAATTGCTTTGCCTGTTGAGTTACAGAAAGTGGTGCTCAGTTGTAGAATGTCTTGTACCTTTTACCACCTGATGTGTACATCTGTGTAACAGAAAGGGCAACAATAAAATAGCAATCCGAAAGCAAGAGTATGGCAGAAAAAGGTCTGTAAGCACAGTCTTATTTTCTTTTGTTGTCCAGAATAATTCTAATTCTCGAGCCTCCCAGAAATTGGAAGCTAAATAAAGCAACTCAAGTTTCCTTTCTTTTTGAACTCAGTGACAGTGGTTTGTGACCGCAGGGATGCATGGATGTTGGGAAGCTTCCTCCAAGTCCTGGACTGCTGAGAGTGTAGACCAGGAACTACCTCACAGCACCCTGCACCGGGCCCACGGGCTTCACAGGGCAGTGGCCAGCTCACACGTGGCGGAACCTAGGTGTGCTTGCCTGATGAGGTGCTCCCTGGCAGTGGGCGCGAGCTGAGGGGGCCCTGCGACGTGTCTGACAGGAAAGTGTTGATTCGGCTGGTTGAGAGCCTCTGTCGCCCCAGCAGGTGCTTCCTGAGACGCTGATGAGAATGAGGTGTGAGCACCAAATGGACGCTGAGCGGATTGGCGAGGTGACTCACTGACCAGAGAGTTGTACTCAGTGAGTACTTTCCAGGTGACCTCTTCAGTGTACAGTTGTAGTTTCTGATTTTTACCTATGGTCAAACAGCAGACTTGTGAAGACATTTCTAAACTCCAGCGATACAGTCAAATCCCACTCAGTCCGAACGTGAACGTGCCACACGTTGCTGTGGGCTATGTCAGGCTCATTTGTTCCTAGAAAATCTCTTCAGGCAGGCGTCTCTCTTCCTCAGATGTCCAGCCAGCATTGGGCCCGAGCTCTCCTACAACTTCCACATCGTGCTGCCCACCAGGATTGACACCCAGATACTGGAGGCCCTGTGGCTCTGCAGAATTTTGAAGTGCCTTCTGAATCATTAACAGAAATTGTGTTTTGAGACACTCTTTGATCCATTTGGAATCTCTGACCCGTTTTGAGTAGTTTGGGGGAACAGAGTTGGTGTGAAGAATCTGCTCCAGTCAGTTGGGCTCCGCTGTATCTGACAGTCAGTAGGGAGGTGCACCCAGGGTACAGGCACCCCTTGAAACCATGTGTGGTTCACGTCAAGACAGGCGTCTGCCAGTGCCCTCGCTCTTCCCTTCCTCCACCAGCCCAGGCTGGCGTAGACCCGGGGCCCAGGGCAGTATCCAGAGTCGGAGCTGCCTCACCCACACCCAGCCCCCAACTCCCCGGGGCTGTTCATGGGCCCATGGTCCAGGCCCAGAAGCTTGCAGTGGGCCGAGAGCAGCCCAGTGCCCTGCAGGAGCCAGGCTGCTGTGAGGGGGGGCCCCTTCCTCTGTGCCTTGAACCCTGGGGAAGGCCTCTGGTCATCTCTCCTGTCTTTTCTGTGTCTGGGTGGAATGTCACCACCCCTGTGGCTTTCTCTGTCCATGTGTCTTCTGGTCTACACTGTTGATTTCTGTAAGTGGTTTCATTTGGGGTTTGCTGAAAACTGCTAGGCAGTTCTCCATGCACATTCTTCCAGGGGATAGGAAGTTAGAGGGGGTTCTGTTGGATTTGAGTTAAACTTATTTTGTTTGCGGTTAGCATTGATTATGTTCTAAAAATGTAATTTATTAAAATTGGAAATGGTGTTCTGACAGTCCGTGGGTTGTCTTGTGGTCGAATCCAATTTCTAAGCGCTACTGATGGCATATTTTCTTACATCTAAAAGCATGCATCTGGCATATTTGTAATAAACTCCAGAGGAAACGTTTACACTTAACGTGGTTCTCCAGTTTTTGCTTCTCCTCTCCTTCTCTTTGATGGTGAGGTTTGAGGGCAGCATACTATTTCTGTGAAGACACTGACCTCGTGGTGGTTGTGTGCTGTTAAATCAGAACCAATCCACAGCTGATTGTCCAGGGGGCTTTCGCTCATCTGTCTCCCACAGAGAGCTGGTAGATTTGAACTGTGTGCCTTTGGGATGGCAGTATAATTCCTTACTGCTGACTGCAGCAGTGGGCCTGAATGTGTTGGAGATTGTGAGGTTGGCACAAGCTAGGACAGGATTCAGATCAGTTGTTTATTGAGTCGCTGTGAGTCTCCCTCAGTGGCACCTGACAGGCCATCAGCACTGCCTGGGTTAGGGTTAGGTCTGCCTGAGGGTCTGAGGAAGAAGATCAAGATGCGTGCTCTGATTTGGTTCTTGAATTTGCTAAGTTAGAGTAGAGGAGTCCCTGAGGCAGGGTCGTACTCTGGGCTGCGGGGGTGTCCTGTCCGAGAATGACACCCAGTGGGAGGCTTCAGTCCGAGCCACTTATTGTCCCCAACCTGTATTTATAGTCAGCTTGGTGAGACTTCACTGTGATGACTTAATCTGCAGTCAAACTCAGTAGAGTTGATTTCTGGTCCTGACTCTGGCTACCTAGTGGTGATTGCCTGCCTCCCTCCCTCACCCCCTCCCTCTACCTCCTGTGTAATAAGGGGATCTGATGGTGTAGGAAGTCGAGGCACTCTACTTCCCATAGGTTTTCAGGGGCTCTAGGTCACATAGGCAAAGATTGCCCATCTTGGTCCTACAGAGCCACTGGTGGATTTGAACCACCAGAGAGGTGCACCCTTTTGGTTAGCAGTGCAGCTCCCTACCAGTTGTGCCAGCAGAGCTCCCAGTCCCATCACTCCTCCGCTTTCTTCCTTGGACCAACTTCCATTTGGCTGTACAGTCACTGGATGGATCCCAGCCCAGCCAGCTTTTGTCCCGGCTCCACTGTCATGGGAGAGGAAGCATCTCTCCCTAGTGTTCGGTTCTGTGGGTGCTGGTGAGTGCCTCCCACCCAGGGCTGCCCTGGGCCTGCAGTGAACTGCCTGGCATGGATGGCCAGGTCTCCTTTGACCCAGTGGACATGGGCAGCTGAGCATCTGAACCACAGACATCCTAAACCTGGGACCCTTCTCCCTGGACTTGAGCCAGGCATGCAGCGTTGGAAAGGGTCACCCAGATTGAGGTGATGTCAGCAGCCGGGGAGCTGGGTGCCCTCGGAGGGTGTGATGGTATCTTCCTCATCTGAAGTTCAGTGATTGATTTTCACTTGACAGCTTCTCACGAAAGACAACCTAAGAAAGCGCTCGAAGGGGGAAGGTGGTTGCTGGGCTGTGTTCTGTCGGTGCCCGTTGGAGGGGAGCGGGGCGTTGGCACCAAGCTGGAATGACCATTTCTTCCTACAGCGTCCGGAACAGTGACGAGGCTCTCTTACCTGCAGTGGTGTCTGATCCAGCCTTGCCATGACATTCTGTTTTGATTCAGTTACTGGTCACTTGTGTAGGCCCTGGTTCAAGGCCTTGAGCCTCACTTCTCCTGTACATCTTTTTCTTACGTGTTCTTTGCCATTTCTGGAACTGTCCTTGTTTTTTCCTTAGCTCATAGGTCATAGACACAAGAATATTATAGTATTTAAGGCATCCGCATCAAGCTTTGCATCCAGAAAAACATTTAACAGTAACTCAGTTTTTGAAGCACCACGCATGTGTAACACAGCTCTAGAACTATAATAAATGCAAACTGTTGTTAAGCTTCTGATCGCCTGTGCTTTTGTTTTTTTCCTCTAAGTCTCTCTCCTCACCCCCTTAGACCTGGCCAGGAGCGCCTACCTGGGCCCAGGGTTGTCTAAATCACATGTACTGGAAATCTAGTCGGCCAGAACTCCCTCGCACAGCCCCAGATTTCGTACACACATCAGTATGGCCAGATGCGCCTACGTGCTTAGGTTACAAACCTCCAGCCCTGTCCTGAGGCTCCATGGAGCACACTGACCATGCTTTAGGCAGAGAAGTGCCAGTGAGTAGGCCGTCATGTGTGCTGCTCAGAGGTGCCTGAGCCCCTTCTCTGCCGCGCATGAGGGAGGCCTGAGGTGGGGAGGCACTGCGTGTAGAATTGTTTTATTTATGTGTTTTAAGAGAAGAGAGCCCATGTCATTGCATGTAGACCTCCACACGACCCCTGGAGATTGCTGAGTAGCACAAGCTTCAGCAAGCAAGGGACTGGGGAGCTGGAAGCCCTGGGCTCTCAGAGGTAGAGCTACTGACTGGGCCTATCCCCACGGGCCCCCCAAGGCACCAGTTCTGGAAGGGTGTGGTGCCCAGACGTATCCAACCCCCACCCCCGGTGATCTTCCCACCTCACACAAGCCTTCCCTGGCTCCCGCTCCTAAGAACAGAACCCCAGACTTTCACCCTGCACCCAGGCGGTCTGATGCTGACCGCTTGCATAGCCTCTGCCTTGCTGAGAGCCTCTGTCTGCTGGCCTCTTCCTCAGTTCTGTCCCTCATTGATGCTTTCAGTACTCACAGAGCCAGGGATAAAAAAATGGAGTAAGGGGTGTAGGAGGAGAGGGGTGGGCCTCAGCCTGGACGTGGCCCACCACCACCAGTTTCTTTGGGGTTGTGGAACTCGCTCCTGTGTCAGCACCGTGATCCAGGTGAAGCTGGATGGGAGGCGGAGACTGCCTGGCCTGCTACCATGGTGAACACTGGGTGGGTTGAAGAGCAGACACCCCTGGGAAAACCCTGAGCAGGAGCGTGGTGCCTCTGCCTGCCAGCCTGGAAGATGCTCTTGCACCCTGCCCTGGGGACGGCGAGGCTGGAGACCCCAGGGTTACCTGAGGCCCAGAACATCAGATCCCTGGTCTCACTCATCCGGTCAGCCCCATGCAGCACCCAAGGGCAGGCATGGCCCTGGAGCTGGGATCACTATGATCCCTCCCACTTGGCCACCAAAGTCAGGACAGGTGTGGGAGAGGTGGGATCTGGAAGGGGGGGAAGACTACTGTGGCCAGCTGGAAATGAATCCCCAAGGACCCTTGGACTGGATCTTCTGTCGCCCTCATTTATGCAGTTAGGTGATGAGGTCCTTTCAGGCTGCTCTAGCCCCACAGCGTGTCCGAGTACAGCTCTGCCCCAGCAGCTTTCAATGGCTGATGTCTCAATAGATTGAAGGGTCTAGTATTTCCAAAGCTTACCCAGATGCCCACACCTCTTGACATCTGCTTTTGTCATTGGCCAGATCTGGCACCAAACCAAACTGGAGCTTTGTTGTGTACCACCTAGCAGGAACTGACCCATAGCTGACTCTGCGGCAGGTTTTCTGAACCACTTAATTCCAAAGGGGGAGGTTGCCCATCTTTCTCCCTGGAGCAGCTGGTGGATTCGAACATCATACCTTCAGGATTGCAGCACAGATTCTCGCCACCAGGCCACCAGAGCAAGGGCAGAGTGAATACTGGGCATGTACCAGGAGGGCCTGTCACTGTCTCTTATCAGGGCCCCTGTTGGCTCTCCCCAACCTTGTCACCAGCACCAAATGGCTTAGCGGTCACCAAGGCACTTGCCCTAACTCCTCCTGGCCACCCATGTCCCACAGAGCCCCTCTGGCCACCATTGTTCCTATCCTAGCTGCTCCCTGAGCTGACCCGCTGAAGACCAAAGAAGCTGGCAGATGATACCCAGCTAAGTAGGCTGGCCTGAACAGTGAAAGTGGAGGCAGGGCTGTGATGCTTGGGGAGGGCAGGGGGCTGCCCAGGATTGACTGGGGACTGGAGAGGCCTGGTGGGGATTGGGAGAGTACCCTCTTCAGGTTGTGTTTCTGGTTTTCACCATATTCTTGTGTTACTTTTTAAAACTAGAATTAAATTCCAATCAGAATATTCTAATTTGTTAAAGTACCTCACCAAAACTTGTTGGTAAACATCTGTTTAGGAGTGTCCTATCTCTGCAGCCTCTGCACCTGCTGAGGCCAATGTGAAGTCACTCCTGTGATGTCACCAGGTCAAGGGTGGTGAGCAAGACTCCACTTGGGTCCTCCCTGGGTCAGCCAGCCTGGTCTGTGTCCCCGTCCCTACAACTGCCCGTGGTGTCTCTTCAGAGGAAAGTGAGGCTGGGGTGCCTAGGGCAGGGGACATGGGTGTCAGCCGTCACCAGGGACCCTCACTTGGAGCATACAGGCTAACAGGTACCTGGGCTCACCAGCCAGCCCTTCCCAGCCTCCTTTCCCTGAAATGCAGCTAATTGCATGGTTCTGGGATTCAGTGGGTTTTAGACCTGGAGGAGCACCCGTTATGGAGGAAATTGGGGTCCCTCCCCAGCCTGGGGGTATTTGTGGCTCAGCAGTGGGAGGAAAGATGCCTCCCCTGAGAGTCGTAGAAGGGGCAACACTTGAGGTACCCAGGAACAGCAGGGACCCCATTTAGCACGAGGTCTGGCCAGATGCCCTTCCTTGACTCCACCCACCCCCAGCACTCAGAGCCCTGATTCAGCACTGTTTCCCCTCGGTACGTTCCCCCACAGCTGGTGACACCCCCAGAGGACTTATCCTTCGTATTGCTAGAGGCAGGGTCCAGGGTTCCCTCGCAAGACACCCCACATTTCAAAGTAGAACCCCAGTCCTTCTGAGGGGCCCCTGGGTGTGACACTTCCGACCGTTAGCTGAGGCTAATGTGCCCCAGGCTCCTTGCAGACCTCTGAGGTCTGGCTGAGGCTGTGCCTGGCCCTGGGCTCACTCAGCCCCCCATCAGTTGCATATCCCTCCTCAACAACACACAAGCAAGGTCCTCCCATTCTCTAAAAAGACAACAGAGCTTTATTCCCTCCGGACACAGTAGTTAAAGGCCCATTATCAGGAGTTGGGGTTGTCTCAATGAGCAGGTCCAGAACAGTTGGTCTCACCAGGGACCCGGCTCTGGGCAATGGTGACCCTTGGGGCCAGACCTGCCTTCATGCCCTCAGCACTCCAGCCTGCCCCGTCCAGGCACACGGCCTCAGCTCCCACTCTTTCAGGGATGGGCTCCCTTCCTCAGCCCGTGGGGCCCTTACAGTGCCTGCTGCCTCTGGGGAACCCTAACACAGCACACCCCGCTGCAGGGAATGTGGGCTGTGGATCAGTTCGAGTTGTTGACCTTTGGCTTGGCTGTGACTTAGATGGTCCCAGCCCTGGGTGAGACCCATACTGCCCCCCTCTGCTGAACCCTGTGGACATTGTGGGGGATCCTGGCTGGCAGCACTGGGCCAGAATCAGAGACATCTTCCAGTTGGGCAGCCTGAGGCCATGGGGCTGGGAGGGAACTCTCTCCTCCAGTCTGTGGCTTCCCTTGAACTGGGCTTCCCTTGAACCTTCTGTAAGTCTCCTGGAGGTCCTCAGGACCCCACATGGGGAGGAGCATCCCCCCACAGTGTTGTATGAAGTTGGGGTACAACCTGGAGGACCCAGTCCTGCCACACCAGGAAGTTTCCGTGCACATCTCTGTTCCTCAGAGGCAGAGAGGTGGCCGCGAGGTGTCTTGGAGCTTTGCCCGTGGGGAAGGAGTGAGCTGCCAGGCACCCATGAGGGGCAGGTGGATGCCCTTGGAGTGGGGTGCAGGCCGACCAGAGGACATGCCTGAGGCTGGACCCTGGAACGCCCAGGAGCACAGTGCGCTCCAAGCGGTCATTTCGGCAGGCATCGTCTCCGACCTCCACGACTGTCCAGTGTGGATGGAGTGAGGGTAACCATTCAAATGCTGAGAAAACTGAGGCCCAAGGACGTGAAGTTCATGGTCCAGCTGAGAAGAACTCAATCCAGTGCACTGGGGTCCCTGCCCCTCAGAGCCGCCGCGGAGGTGGGGCCGGGAGAAGGCAGGATGCGCTCACAGGCTGGGCGTGCAGGTGCCACCGGGGCAGCCGCAGACGCCGCCTCGCCCTCGTGCTGGGCCTCCTCGCCGCGTGCGTAGGTGAGCACCACGGTGACCGTGGCGAAGGTGGCCGCGTTAACCGGGAAGGCGCGCAGCAGCGTGGAGGTGAGGCCGCGCGTGAAGACGCGCCAGCCCTCGGCCTCGTAGCTCTGGCGCGCGCAGTCAGCGATGCCCTGGTAGCGCGGGGCACCCCGCAGCCCGTCGGCCTGCAGCCGCGACTTGACCACGTCCATGGGATAGGTGGACAGCCAGGACAGGATGCCCGACGTGCCGCCCGCCAGCAGCAGCTTGGGCACCAGCAGCCGGTCGCCCGGCTCGCAGCCCAGGCAGCGCGTGAGCACGTCGTAGGACAGGAAGTAGACGCCGAAGCTGGGCGTCTCGCGCAGCAGCGTGGCCACCATGCCGCGGTTGACGCCGCGCAGCCCCTCGCGCCGGTAGATGTGTGCCAGGCAGTGCAGCGAGCCGCGGTAGGTGCGCGCCGGGCCCGTCTCCTGCAGCTGCAGCCGCGTCTTGGCCAGCTCCATGGGGCAGCAGATGACGCACTGGATGGCACCCGCCGCCGCGCCCGCCACGAACTGGTTCAGCGGTGTGTCGCGGCCCAGGGCGCGCAGCGTGTTGCCCTGCACGCCGAACACGAGCGCGTTGATGAAGGTGAGTCCCATGAGGGGCGAGCCCAGCCCCTTGTAAAGACCCAGCACCTGCGGGGCGAGAGTGGGTGTCAGGGGGCAGGGGCGCCCCCTCGGCTCTGCCCCTGAGGACCCGGGTGGATGTGGCCAGGACCGTTCCCCAGCCCTGATTCCGCAGTGATCATAGATGCAATGAACACGTGGGCAGAAGAACCCCTCCGCGTCCCTGCAGCTGGCACGCCCCCCAATTCCCACCCCGGGCCACTCACGCTTTCCTGCCGGACGATGGACTGGAAGCAATGCAGTGTCCCTCGGTACTGGGGCTTCGAGCCGCTCTGCACCTGCAGCCGCACCTGGAAGGTCAGGGCCCGTGAGCAGGGTCATGGAAGGCGAGGCCAAGGCAGGGCACCCCGAAGCTGGGCTTGTGAGACTGCAGGGTGGTGGGCCCGTATGCTGCTCCCAGGCAGGGGGCTAGGAGCCGAGCACACTGGGCTGAGACCAGTGCAGGCCAAGCCATTTCTGCTACTTGATTCAGAGCGTGTGCGCATGTGCGCACGCACACACACATCACAGCCACCCTGGCTGAATGGCTTCTGTCCAGACACAGTGACTGCCGCAGGCCTCTGGCCTGAGGCTCCACACGGCCTCCCAGCTCTGCAGGGACTCCAAGGAGGCCTGGTTCCCACCAGGAGCGCTCCCAAGGACAGCGGCCATCAGTGAATACAATAAAGTGGTGGCAGGGTGGTTGGTATCTCCTTGGGGACCTAGGTCAGCAACTCTGTGGCTTGGGGACAGGCACATTTGAGAGCCTTAGCCATGCCCAGGCCTTTGTTGCTTGTCTCCACGCTGGACCCACAGGCTCTGCAGGCGAGAGTGGGAGGAACATTTCCTGAACTAGAATCGGTGCTGGGATGGGGGTGACCAGTCAATTCCCACATCTGATTCATTAACAAGGCTGGATTGCAGCTAAAGTCACCAGTGAGCGAGCTGAGCCTTGTGCTGGGGCACCCATTTCACAGATGAGAGGCCTGAGGCTCAGGGGTGCTTTGCAATTTGATGCCACCTGCGTCCTCCTCCTCTCCAGGACCCTGAGTTGCTGTACTGAGCAAGGCGGTGGGAGGCTGGTGGCCGAGAGCCCTCAGAGGGTACAGCCCGGCTTCTGTCTGGATGGAAGGACCCTTCCGTGTTCACCACCAGGATAAAACCCCAAGACCTCATAGCTGTCGAGGTGAGTCCAACTCCCAGCCGTCCTCCTGGACAGTCCCCACAGGGCTTCCAAGGCTGTGCTCGCTCTGTGGCGTGCCTTTGGTGGTGCAGTGAGTTAAGTGCCTGGCAGCCAGCTGAAGAAGTATCAGTGATTCAAATCCACCAGTTGCTCCAGAGGAGACAGGTGAAGCCGTCTGAATGCATGGTGACAGCCTGCAAACCCTGCGGGGTGGGGGGTCGCTTTTGCTCTGTCCTGTAGGGTCGCTGGGTGGTATCTGACTTCACATCAGTGAGTCCGCGTTGGCCCTTCACCTTTACAGATGCGGGCTGCTCCTTTATCCAGAGGAGTGAGTGGTAGGTTTGAACCAAAAACTTTAGTGAACAGCCAACACCTGGCTCGGGATCCACATCTCTCCAGTGTGCAGGGGTCCCAGGAGGAGCACCTTGGGGCCTGCAGCACCTAGCAGGGGCACCAACTGGGGTTTTGTTGCTGATAAAAATTGGTATTTAGCCTAGTGGCAAGAAGCTGCAACTGCAATGCCAGAGGTTCGTGGTTCAAATCCACCAGATGCTCTGCTGGAGAAGGAGGGGCAATCTCCTCCTGTACCAGTAAGATCCAACTTGACGGTACACGCACAAAAGATAGTAAAAAATTAAATTTAAAAAAGAAGTAAAAAAAAAATTGATGTTTAGAATTAGCCAGCTGGACTCAGTTTAGATGATCCCAAATTTGTTGGCAATATTCAAAGCATCATAGTCAGGAGCAAGGCGAACATAACAGGCCTTCCCTCCATCAGGCCTAATCAAGGTGTTGACCTTGGCCACATAAATGTCACAGAGCTTCTTTCCAGCTCATTTGATTTGGTGCTTGTTGGCCTTGACATCCACAATGAACACAAGTATGTTGTTATCTTCTGTCTACTTCATGGCTAACTCAGTGGTCAGGGGAAACTTGATGGCATAGTGGTCAAGTTTGTTTCTCCTGGGGACGCTCTCCCGGGGGTACTCAAGATGCCTTTGGAGTCTCAGCAACTTAGGGTGCCGGAAGGTGGGTGACGTGTGGTCCTTTTTTATGTGTGTGTGGCTGGAGATGCCCTTCAGGACACCTTCTTGGCCTTTAATGCTTTTGCTGTGGCTTCAATCTTGGGAGGGGCGGGGCTTCCTTCTTCGCTTTCAGCCCTATCTTCATAGCAAGGCCGACAGGGCTGTTTTACCCTGCGCTGCCTCCTTGGTGCATGCAAGTCCTGACCGTGTCCAGGCAGCATCCTTAAGGCTGGTGAAGGTGTTCTGGTGGTGTAGTGTGTTACATGTTGGTCTTCTAATCAAAAGGTTAGTGGTTCAAACCGGCCAGCCACCCCATGGCAGAAAGATGGGACAGTCTGCTTTTATAAAGACTTGCAGGCCGGGAGGCTGGATGAAGAGTCATGATGAGTTGGAAATGACCGTGGGATTGGGTGTCAGCCTCATGGAGATGCACCGCACCAGGGCCCCAGCGACCCCAGCGTGCCTCGCCCCAGGTGTCTGATGAGCCTTATTGCCTGAAAGTTGAGGGGCCAGGCTTTGGGGACGTCTGTGCTGTTGGCTCAGGAGAGGGCTAGGCTCAGAGCCATTATTCATAGGGTTGGAGTCAACTTGACAGCACCTAACACCACCATCACAACATACAGATCAGCAGTCCATGTCTTAGCAAATTGAGAGCTGAAATTCTGAGGGTTTATAGGGGCCAGGATCCCCTACTTTGAAAAGAGGACACCATAGAAGGCCATGAAGCTCCCAGATTCCCCAGGGCTGGGAGACCCCAACTTGAAGGCTCCCGCAAGAGAAAGCTTCTTGACCAGTTCTGCGTGAGTTCCCCACCCCCAGACATGTCCTGGCCAGGCACAGAGGACACCTGGGTGTGGGAGGCCTGGACAGTAGATTAGGATCACATTGACCCACAACAAAGTTCTGGACAGAGGCACCTACCCACAGGGCCAGGACGGTTACAGTAGATCATCTACACTTATCCAGATGCAGCAATGCCTGGCTCCATGATCCCCCAGCTTCTTACCCCACTCCAGCTCTTTGAGTCCCCCTCCGTGACCCTCTAGCTCCACAACCCCCCAATTTCCTACCCCACCCTGGCTCTGAGTCCCCCTCTATGACCCCCAGCTCCCTACCTCTCCCCAGCTCCATGGGTCCCCTCCACAACATCCCCCAGCTCTATGATCCCCCAGCTCCCTAGCCCACCCCAGCTTCTTGAGTCCCCCTCCACAATATCCCCCCAGTTTCCTACCTCACCCTGGCTCTGAGTCCCCCCTCACAACTGAGTACCCCTTCACAGCTGAGTCCCTCAGCTTCACAACCCCCTGCCCCATCCCAGTTCCGTGAGTCCTCCGACATGACCCCCTAGTCCCACAACTCCCTAGCTCTACAGCCCCCAGCTCCCTACCCCACCCTGGCTCTGCAAGTCTCCCTAAGAACCCCCCCCAGCTCCATACTCCATCCTGGCTCTGTGAGTCCCCCCCATGATCCCAGCCCCATGACGCTCAGTTCCCTACCTCACCCCAGCTCTGTGTATCCCACTCCAGCTCCATGACCCCCCATCTTCCTACCCTATCCCGCTCTGTGAGTCCCCCTCCTCCACTCCCCCAGCTCTCTACCCCACCCTGGCTCTGTGGGTCCTCTTCCATGACATCTCTCCAACTCTGCGACCCCACCCCCAGCTCCCTACCCCACCCTGACTCCATGAGTTCCCCTCCATGACATCCCCCACACCCCATGACCATGCCCTGCCCCTTGTTCCACGACTGCAGCCTCAGCTTGACTCCTCCCTAGCTCCACGACCCCCACTCAGCTCTATGACTGCCCCCCCACCTTCAGGACCCCCCAAAACCCCTCCCAGCTCCACAACTCTCCTTCAGTTCCAAGACTTCCCACCCTCAAGATCCTCCCTCCAGGAGGACAGTCACCACCCTCCTTGGACCGAGTGACCACTCCTGATAAAAATGTCCTTGGACACAGTGTCCCTGCTTTATTGTCAGGACAAGGGAAGACAGGACTGCTTTCTGCAGGAATGTGGACAAGGATGGGGACAGTGTGTCACTCTGGGTGTGACAGGAAACCAGGAAGACAGTGGGCCTGGAGACACACCACGTCCACCTCAGCCACGACAGGGTGCCCCAGAGGATTCTGGACACAAGATTCAGAAGAGGCGAAAGGAACACACAGCCAGGACGTTAAGATGGGGGATGCCCTAGAAGGCAAGGGGGGCCTCGGGGACCAGCCAGCCCCTCAAATGTGCCTTCAAGCTGTTGCTGTTGTTGACTGAGTACAACTCAGTGATCCTGTGAACAGCTGACCTGAACCCTGCCCTGTCCCGTGCCATCCTGTCCATCTACTCTCTTTCGCTGACCCTCTGCCATTCCAGGCAAGTCCTTCTCCACCCTTCCGATGTTTTCTCCACGTGGCAACCAACGGCAGCAGCACTCAGAGGTACACCCCCACTTTGCCAAAAGCAGGGTCACATGGTCTTGCAGAATTCACAAAACTTCAAGGAAAACACCACAGGCCGCTTCTTCCTGGTCCACGTATCTCTGCTTATTTATCTATTTTTCTTACAACTTGTATTTCTTTTAGGGAGCTCTGGCGGCCTAGTGCCAAGGAGTTGCCCTGCCAAGCCAAAGGCACACCGTTTGAACCCCGCAGCTGTTCTGCAAGAGAAGACGGGCAACCTCCTCCCGGGAACTTACTGCCTCTGGAAACCTGCTGGAGGGTCAGCGGTGGGTCATTTCCGACTTGACAGTACAGAACCAGGAACACGGTTCTTTATAACAATAAGCTGGTTCAGGGGGATGGATGCGGCCCTAAGGATGGGGTTCTGTGGCAGAGGTTGCGGGGCCAAACACAAAACGTGGCGATGGACTCGTGGGAAGAGGAAGCAAGCATCTCCCTTTCTGTGCACCGAGAGAGACAGGGGGTCCCGACTTGACCCCACTGAAGGTACTGCCTTCAGTGAGACCCAGAGCATGTCCTGTGCTCTGCAGAGTGTCACAGTGTGGGACCCAGGGGACAGGCAGGCCTTGGAACTGGGTGGGGGAGTGTGCTGACTGGATGAGGTTTCCTTCTGATGATAAAATGTTGGTTGGTCACAGGACTAGAAAGAGTCACAAGTAAACATTCTCGAAGCCCTGTTACTCAGCTATCAACCGGACAGGCCCGTGTGATGAACAGCAGCACTGGGGAGGAACACACATCTCAGAACAACCAAAGGGCAGCGTCTGCCCAGGGAAAAAGCTCGTAGTACAGAAAGGGATGGGGCGGGGGCGGGGGGGGGGTAAGGATAAATGGAAATGGGAACCACAGGGAAGAAGTGGGGAATATGCTGCGACATCGTAGGGCAGCTGATGCCACGAACCAAAGTGTAGGAACTGCGGAATGGGAAAGGAATATGCTCAGTCATCATTTACCCAGATTGCAGTAAAAGTTAGAAAAAAAAGAAAATATATTTAAAAAAGTAAATATAAATAAATAAAGGAGTTCTCATGGCCTAGTGGTGAGGAAGTGCACCGCCAACCCAAAGGTGTGTGGTTCAAATCCACTAGCTGCTCTGTGGGAGAAAGATGAGCAATCTCCTCTTGCGATTAACTGTCCCTGAAAACCAGCTACGGATTGGTTCAGACTCCGCAGTTGTTGTCATGTGCTGTCAAGTCGCCTGCGACTCATAGCGACCCTGTGTACAACAGCCCTGAACCCTGCTCTGTCCTGTGCCAACCTCGCCGTCTCCGACACACAGTACACAACAAATAACGAAGGTCGTGAAGACACCCTCCAGCTACGATGGAAGGTCCAGGCACCCTTCAAAGCCCTGGGATGGAACAGAGCTTAGTGGACGAATCTGTGGGGAGATACGCTGCTCTCTGCCATGCAGTGGTTCAAACCCACCAGTGGCTCCTTGGGGTAAAGATGGGTAAGCTCGTCCTGTGTGATTTACAGCCTGGTGCACGGTCCAGCCTTGAGCCAGTTCTGACTGGACTAGAGTGAGAGAAGAAGTGGGATCACGGGGCTCCTTCCTGGTGTAGAGTGACTTTAGGTGTGTGAGGCTCATACACTAGGAGGAAGTTGGAGGCCCAAAGCCAAGGAGGCAGTTATGCCCGGCCTAGCCAGATGCAGCTATGCAGGGCTGGCCTCCACAGAGCCCGCTGAGGAAGTGAGGTGCCTCATGGCACAAGACCAAGAGGTGTCCCGCAGGCTCCCATGGGGACTGTCAGGCTGTTCCGGGCTGCTCTGATGGGTGACGTGTGGGCTGCTGGCGGGTAGAGCCAGGGCACAGGTGTGGGTGTGTGTGAGAGAGTGTGAGCAGTGCACTGGGAGCCTCTGCTGGCCTCCCTCCAGCTCCTGCAGGGAACCTGGGGCCACTGCCTGCCAAGAAGGCCCAGCCTGCAGGCTCGTTCTAAACATTACCTGCTCCCAGCACTCCATGCCCTTCCAACTCAAACCCACGGCCTCCAGACCCGTGTTGCTAAGTGATTCTGCCTGCCAGGGCCCCTGCAGGACGGAAAAGTGCCCCAGGCCTCTGCGACTGTAATTTTTACAGATGGCAACTGCCCATCTTTCTCCCTTGAAGCTGTGAGTGGGCTTGAACTGCTGACGGGTTGGTTACCAGCCAAGTTCTTTTTTTTTTTAATTTTATTATTATTGTGTGAGTGTACCGTCAAATCAGATCTGACTGGTACAGGAGGAGATTGTCCCTCCTTCCCCGGCAGAGCATCTGGTGGATTCGAACCGTGCACCTCTGGGATTGTAGTTGCAGCTCCTTGCCACTAGGCCACCAGAGCTCCCCTTCAGCCAAGTTCTTTAACCACTGTGTACCCAGCACTCTCGTGTCTTTGAGCACTAGCATTCACTCTGACCCCACAACACTGTGGAGGACGGGGTGCCCACAGCACAGGGACTGGAGGGCACCCAGAACCTGCCTCGTTAGGACAGAGCCCCAGCCCAAGGCAGCCTGTTGTTTTCTCAGCCAGCAAACACGTCGGTGAGCGTGGTGCCAGCTTCCGTGGGGAGGCAGGGGCCCAACTCAGGGTGACATATTTCGGCTTTGGCGTTGCCCCAGCGGCCAGCACAGGCTGTGAGGAAAGGTGCCAAGTTCATGCTTACAGCAGGCCCAAAGGCCTGGCCTGGTGCCCCCTGCCACTTCCAGCTTGTTCTGGATCCAAGGGTAAGCCAGCATAGCATGCAAGTGTCCTGACAAGACACGAACCAAAACTCTTGACACATAAAAACAGCCAGTCTTACTGCTCTGAGAGAGACTAGTTCACCCCCACCCCCACCCCGAACCTGGAACATCCTGACTCTGTGACTCAGCTTTCACCTAAACAATCAACAGGCTTAGAAGATGAACAGTAACCCAGGGACATCTGTAACTGAATTCTTTAGGACAATCAACCATACAGACCAAAAGGGCAGCTTTACTCAGGGCTAAAGGGCAGGAAGGGGTAAGAGAGAAGGGTTAGTGGAAATGAGACTCACAGGGCAGGAGGGAGAAGAGTGTGGTTCCAATGTGGGGACTGTGATCAATGTCACAGAATGTGTATGATCAGTTGAATGGAAAACCCATTTGCTATTTTCTCTGCAAACTGTCACACAAGCCAGTTTTTAAAAAAGAAAGCGTCTCAATTTGGCCAGGTTAACAACTTCACCCTGAGATGAGGAGTGGGTGTATCTGAGGCCTGGATCCACCAAGGAGGACACCAGGGGAGCACAAGATGAGACGGGAACCCCTTGGATCTGAGAGGGGTACCCCCTTTCTCAGTGAGCTGGATAAACCACTGTGTGGGGGCAACACAGCAAATCCCTCCAGTTGTCTGTGTTCCCTCAGAGTTCCTCTTTGTTGGAAGACAATGTCTGGGGAGTTCTGTGTAAGGACCATGTGGCTGGGTGGGGGGAAGGTCCTTCAGCACCCTGGTGGCCAGGCCCCAGGACAGACTAACCCTGGCCGGTAGGCTAACTGGCAGGGGCAGCACCATCACCTGGACCTCAGGGTGGCTGCGTCTCGCTCTGCATCCTAAACCCCTAGGAAGACATGACGTGTTCCTGAGGTCAGAACTGGGACGGGCCCTAACTCCGTCAGCCTGTCCCCATACCTGCACCCCACAGAAGCCAGCGCTCTCAGCCACGATGAGAAACTCACCTTGACTGTGTCAAACGGGTGTCCCACCAGCACGCCGGCCACACCTGAGGAGAGAAAGGAGACTTGTGACATGAACTGCTTTGGACACCTGTAGTGCAGGGCACTGGGGGACATTTACCTGGTACCTACGCATGTAGCCACGGCACACGAACTCCTGTGATCGCCATCATAGGGGGTCCCCAAGGACAAACAGCCCATTCAAAGCTGGCCTGAGCCCAGCTCACAAGAGCAGACTGGCCTAGTGGGACCACAGATGTTATCCAGAGGTGACCCCCCCCGGTCCACACACCCCTCCGCCTAGGCAGGAGGAGTCAGATGGGATTTGACCGTGCTCACAGCTCAGTGTCTCAGAGCCTCACTGTTCCTGCCTGTCGAGGGGGTTGGATGCCACCGTTCCACGTCTTGGGGACCCTGCGTGAGGGAGCGGTAGGGCTCCGCTGCATTTCGAAGCCATCACCTTCCGGAAGCGGATGCCAGGCCTGCTTCAGGTCCCTCTGGGCGACCAGAGCCACCACCCTTTCGAGCTGGAGGGCACACCATCTGAGTCACCCCACCCCTGGTTCTGGGAGCTCTGGTGGCCTGCTTACTGTGTACAGAGTTGCATTACTAACCTGGTTAGTTCTCTGGTGGTTCAAATCCACCAGAAGCTCCATGGAAGAAAGGCAGGCAACTCCTTCCGCACTATTTACAGCCTCGGTCACCACTGGAGGGTCAGCTGTGAATCAGCTCCAACTCAATGGCCCTGAGTGACAGGAGCCCCTGGTGAGGTAACGGCCTCACGTTCACGGGCCATAAACATCCACCATTTGTATGGGCAGCAGAGGAACACTATGGGGCAGGTCGACACCATCACGGAGGCCGGCCACCAGCAGAGCCACGTCCACGCATGGCCCTTAGTGTGGTCTGCATCTGACTGTTTACGGGCCAGCTGTGTGCCCTGCAGCCCTGCGGGCAGAACAGCTAAGTTTTCACCCACCCATTGGCTCCATCAGGGAAAGACCTGGTGAGCTGACCACCATAGAGCTTTCAGCAGAGAAATTCCTTCTGGGCACCTCTGCTATCGCGGGGCTGTGGCATCAGAAGACTGGACAACACCCAACAGTGACAACAAAGGTGCTTGGTGCAGCTCCCCGCGTCCTCGCTGACCCTTAGCGCTTGTGACCCTCCGGGCCTGGCAGATCGTGAGTCCTCGCTGACCCTCAGTGCTTGTGACCCTCTGGGCCTGGCAGACCCCGGGTCCTCGCTGACCCTCAGGGCCTGGTAGATCCCGGGTCCTCGCTGACCCCCAGGGCCCAGCACAGAGCAACAGGAGCTGATGGCAACAGGCCCAGCCACCTGTATGTGACCTTACTGTCATGCTTGGCTAGAGCGACTGCCTTTCTCTCAGTCCTGGTCGTGCCAAAAGGCCCATGCCCAGAATGACAAAGGTTGATGCATCCACACCCCCCTCACCCCTCAGAAACTCCAGACTCTGTGCCACCGCTGCTGGGAACCCCCACCACACAGAAGGGAAAACTGGGGCTCAGTACAGTCACACGGCAGGCTCCACGTCCCAGTCTTTCTTCTTCCCTCGGGCTGTGTACCCAAGTCCAAGTTCTCTTTTTCATATGTCATTTTTTTATCGATGGAAGCAAAGTCAACACCATAGCAACCAGCAACAATAAGTGTTTGCTTTGAACGTAATTAAAACACCTAGCAGTTACCTGGAGGCGACTGCTTTTCCGGGAATGTGTTTGACGTGCAGGTTTGCTCTGTCCCTGGAGTGAGGCTAGCCAGCCTGGGCCTAGGGTTTGAACCAGGAGGTGGCCTTAAGCTCTTCCTGTCAAACATTCTTCTAGGTGGTATAGCACTGGTCTGTGCGTTGTTGTACAGAGGTAACTCATGTTGCTGTGATGTTGAACACTGTGACAGTGATGTGCCAATCGTGGTAATGGGTACCCACGGTGGACAGAGTTGGCTGGAGCTTCCCGACTAAATCAAGCCTGGAAGCAGGAGTGGCATCCACTTCCGAAATGACTTGTCTCTGAAAACTCTATGTACGAACAGTGCTCAGGCCGTTCGTTCATAGGGTCACTATGAGTCGTCTACGACTCGACGGCATCAAACAACATCAACAACAACAGCAGTTACCTAACATATGATACTGTTCCTACCTGCTGGTGACGGCTGGCTCAAGGCCTCTCCACATGGAAGGAGAGCAGTACTCGCCTCTCTCACAGATGGGGAGACTGAGGCACAGAGCAATCTGTCCATGTCTTACGGCTAATTGAGTGGTGGGAATGGAACCTGGGCTGTTTGGCCCTGGAGTCTTCCCCCCTCCTACCCACCTCTCCCACTTCTTGCTACGGGTGGTTATCAAGTTAGTGGTGACCCAAAGGCCACTGAGAAGATGTCCCACATCTTCCTCACACGTGGCACTTCCTGAAGAAGTCCACACTATGGACTGTCTCAGAAGCAGCGCTGACAGAGTCCTCCTCAGAGGCAGGGATGGTGAGAGGGCATCTCACCGACGTGGAGCGTGTTGTCAGAAGGGCTAGTTCCTGGAGAAGGACCTGGAGAAGCAGAGGGTCAGAGAAGGAGAGCAAGATCCCCCGCGAGACGGACGGACACCGTGGGTCCAGCCCAACGACAGCTAGGTGGCCAGGTGCGGATCTGCCGTGTGTGTGAGCCGCCGTGGGCCGGGGTGAGGTACTGACTATTCCTAGGAACAGAGAGATACGTCCTGGAGAGAACGCGACCAGAGTGCTCTCTGGAGGCCAGGACGGTGAAGCCTCATCTCTGAGTGTGTTGTCAGGAGGGGCCAGTCCAAGGACTGCCTGGCGAGGGACATTATGCTGGGAAAAGGGGAGGATCAGCCAAAGAGAGGAAGACCCTCAATGAGATGAACTGAGAGGGTGACTGCAGCAATGTATGCCAGGGACCGTGAGGATGGCACAAGATCGGGAGGTTTGGGTCTGTGTCCACAGGGTCGCTGGGAGTCACTGTCACCTAACACCTAACAACAATGGTCTGGGACCAACTGAGTGGCAGCTGACAACTGCACCAATCTTCCTGCAATAACTCACTAATCCAGGTACATGATTCTAAACCTCTATTTCCTTTTGTTCGGGATTAATTTTGTCAACTCTGGTTTCTCCTTGGGTGCATGTGTCTGGCCAATTGTTCATTTCCAGGCTCTTCTATGGACACTTGACCCCACCCGAGACAGTCTCAGCTTCACTGGCCACCCCGCAAATCTGCCAGCATCCCACCTCATTTCATAGAGTCCTCCCTGCTTCCCCTCCGCCCGGATTTGCTGGCTCCGACAAATGAAATTACTGGTTATTCCTTCTCCATTTAGTAATTTGAAAGTTCAGTGAAGGGTTACTTCTTGTTTTGAGCAATTGTTCTCATTATACAGAAACAGGATAAGAACCCAGCACACATGCCAAGACTGTCCCTTACTGCTCCACCCTGCCCAGAAAGGCCACTCACCCCGCCAAGGCTCACCTCTTCTGGAGAAGTCTTGGGGTTTGTGCCTGTTCCCTTACCCCTTCATCCCTCATCCTCACTGACCTGGACTGAACTGTAGTCCCACCGAAGTCTGCTGTCCAGGGCCTCTCCAAAGTGCTAAAGAGCAATGGTGTCAGTTTGAAGACTGAGGTGTACCTGATCCAAGCCATGGCCTTTTCAATTGCTTCCAAAGCATACATCTGTGACCAATAAAAAAGGATGCGAGAAGAATCGGTGCCCTTGAACTGTGGTGCTGGAGAAGAGTTCTAAATATCCCATGGACGGTCAAAAGAACAAACAAGTCTGTCCAGGAGGAAGTGAAACCAGGCTGTTCCTTAGAGGCAAGGTGAATAAAACTTCATCTCACGTACGTTGTCATGTTGTCCAGAAGGTCAGTCGGTGTGAAAAGACATTGTGCTGGGAAAAGCAGAGTCAGTGAAAGAGAAGAAGACCTCCAATGGGATGAACCGACATAGCGACCCAACAATGGGTTCCGGCATGATGGAGATTGTAAGGACGGCACAGGAGAGTGCAGACCTCAGAACTGTTGTTTAGAGATTCCTTCTCCACACTTGTCTAATATGAATGCTGAGAAACTCATTCAAGAAGCTGGATTTTATGAAGAGGACTGTGGCATTAGGACTGGAGGAAGACCCTCAACAACCTGCATAACGCAGATGCTGAAAGTGAAGAGAACTTGAACCATTCGCTGCCGAAGATCAAGGACTGCAGCCTTCAACACGGATTACATCATCTCAACATCAAGAACACAAGAATCCTCACCACCGAGCCAACAGGCAACATTGTAGGGGATGGAGAAAAGACTGAAGTTGTCAATGATCTCGTTTTTTCGGATCCACAATCAATACCCTTGGTACTAGCAGTCAAGAAGATGTGCTGCAATGGGAAAATCTGTCGTCAGGACCTCTCCAAAGTTCTAAAGAGCAATGATGCTAGTATAAAGGCGAAGGTACACCTTTTAAAGCCATCAATTTTCAATTGTTTGATATGCATCTGAAAGTTGGACAGTAACTAAAGATGACAGAAGAATTAATGCCTTTGAGGTGTGGTATTGAGGAAGAGTACTGAATACCTCACGGACTGTCAAGAGAACAAACTGATACATTTTGGAGAAAGTGCGACCAGTGCTTCTTGTAGGGAAGGACGGTGAAGCTCTGTCTCACATACTCTGGACATGTGGTTACCAGGGGCTGGCCCTTGGAAAAGGACATCATGCTTGGAAAGGTCAGCAAAAAGAGAATAAGACCCTCAAGGAGATGGACTTGCACAGTGGCTGTAACAATGGTATCAAGTATGTCACAGACAGCGAGGACAGATAGCACAGGACGCGTGGGGCGGTTCAGATCTGCTGTTCATAGGGTCTCTAGGACTCATACTCAACTCCACAGTGTACTCAATAGCACACAACAACAATAACACCAAGGAATGCTGGTCTCTTAACCTGTAGAGACCTTGAATATACCTCGGATTTGGTTCTGGACCACTGCAACAAGACCAAGACTGCAGTAAATCAAGTCACACGG